GTGTTTCTTGTGGAGAGATGCTATTGCTCTTCCAGCCCAACAGCTGAGGGTCTCACACAAAGAGACCACAGATGTCAGTCTTTCAATAATGCAATAGCCAGAGCTGCACTGCTCAGATCCCAGGAGGCAGGAGATTCCTCCAGGTCTTCCCATGAGGGTGCAGGGGCCCAAGGGCTTGTGCCATCTGCTTTCCCAGTCCACAGCATAGTTCTGGATCAGAAGTGGAGCAGCTGGGAATTGAACCAGTGCCCATATGGGATGCTGGCACTGCTGGTGGTGGCTTTACCCTCTACACCACAATGACAGCTCTGAGATCTTTTTCTTTTTTCTTTTTTTTTTTTGACAGGCAGTGTGGACAGTGAGAGAGAGAGAGAGAGAGACAGAGAGAAAGGTCTTGATTTTGCTGTTGGTTCTCCCTCCAAGGGCCACTGCAGGCAGTGCACTGCGGCCTGCACACCGTGCTGATCTGAAGGCAGGAGCCAGGTGCTGCTCCTGGTCTCCCATGGGGTACAGGGCCCAAGCACTTGGACCACCCTCCACTGCACTCCCGGGCCACAGCAGAGAGCTGGCCTGGAAGAGGGGCAACTGGGACAGAATCCGGTGCCCCAACCGGGACTAGAACCTGGTGTGCCGGTGCCACAAGGTGGAGGATTAATCTATTGTGCCACAGCGCTGGCAACCCTGAGATCTGACCTTAACCTGGTGGTTCCTGCCTGATGAGCATGGCATCCACAAATGATGTAGGTGATTCTATTCTGCACCCACAACTTTTATCATGTTTTTAATTATCTATGTCCTTGTCATTTGTTCACCAGAACTGAAATAACCTTTAGGGTAATAATGATATTCACATTATTCATATTGCATCAATCATACCCAGGAGAGTACCAGGCATAATGCAGACAAGTCACCCCTGTCTCCATTCATCCTTGGCTCCTCATTCACACAATGCTAGGGGCTCTTGTTTTTCTCCTCCTCCTCCACCCCTCCCTCTGCACAGCTACCACCACCATGAGACCTACAAACCATGCTCCTCTACTCCCTCTGACCCCATACACTCTCCAGTTCCAGTGGATCCTAACAGGATGATATATCAAGTGTGGAGTTTTAGTTGTACTCATGAAGCGAAGCTATAGAGCTCCACTATCACTAAGTGAATTGTGGATGTTGGCCTTGAAAGCTCTGATTGTTGTGCTCAGTTCTATGGTCCTATGAGAACTGAGGACATGGCAAGAATTAAGGAGATGCCTGCCTGCATATCCCATTCATTTAGGAGACACAGAGCTCTGCAGCATTGTTGTTGGAGCCCCTTCCATTTATTCACTGCTCAAACCTATTGCTTTCTTTTCTGCTTTGTGTCCATCCACTCATATCAGAGTAGCCAGGACAGAGTGAGTTTTTATGAGTCATGATGGTGAGCCAGTGGCTAGACTTTGGACTTTATAATGTGCATTTTGGCTAATCCAGGAAATTGGTTTTTTTTTTAAAGATTTATTTATTTATTTGAAATAGTTACACAGAGAGAGAAGGAGAGGAAGAAAGAGAGGGAAAGGTCCTCCATCCATTGGTTCATTCCCAATTGGCTGCAATGGCCGGAGCTGTGTCAATCTGAAGCCAGGAGCCAGGAGCCTCTTCCAGGTCTCCCACACAGGTGCGGGTTCCCAAGGCCTTGGGCCATCTTCTACTGCTTTCCCAGGTCATAGCAGAGAGCTGGATCAGAAGTGGAGCAGCCAGGACTTGAACCGATGCCCATATGGGATGCCACACTGCAGGTGGCAGCTTTACCCACTATGCCATAGTGCTGGCCCCTCCCCAAAGAATTTTTTTTACTTCTTTCCTGCTTAATTGTGCTTTAGTTACCTAAGGTTGATGAATCTATAAATTGTGAATTAGCGAGGTATTCCAAATTTAGCTTTGCAATATATGATTTTGTGGGTTTTTTAACTTAACTTTTTTTTATAATTTTTTTTTTTGACAGGCAGAGTGGACAGTGAGAAAGAGACAGAGAGAATGGTCTTCCTTTTGCCATTGGTTCACCCTCCAATGGCTGCCACAGCTGGCACACTGCAGCCAGTGCACCATGCTGATCCGAAGGCAGGAGCCAGGTGCTTATCCTGGTCTCCCATGGGGTGCAGGGCCCAAGCACTTGGGCCATCCTCCACTGCACTCCCTGGCTACAGCAGAGAGCTGGCCTGAAAGAGTGGCAACTGGGACAGAATCCGGCGCCCCGACCGGGACTGGAACCCGGTGTGCCGGTGCCGCAAGGTGGAGGATTAGCCTATTGAACCATGGCGCCGGCCTTTTTATAAATAGTGACCATTACTACTCTCTTTTAAAAATATTTATTTACTTATTTATTTGAAAATCAGAATTACATAGAGAGAGGGGATGGAGAGAGAGAGAGAGAGAGAGAGAGGTCTTCTATCTGATGGTTCACTCTCCAATTGGCCACAATGGCCAGAAGTGTGCTGATTCAAAGCCAGCAGCCAGGAGCTTCCTCCAGGTCTTCCATGTGGGTGCAGGGGATCAAGTATCTTCTACTGCTTTCCCAGGCCATAGCAGAGAGCTGGATTGAAAGTGGAGTAGCCAGGTCTTGAACAGGGGCCCATATTGGATGCTGGCATTTCAGGCCTGGGTGTTAACCTGCGGCATAGTGTCAGCCCCTGAATTTTACTTTTTTATTTAGACCTTTCTTATAGAAATGGATTATGTCTTCTAGTTTCTAAGTAACTGCATCATAATGAGGACCATTGTAGATTGTAGCAGTTAAAAATATTTGGCTTGATGATCAACATAAGGCTTATAGATAGTAGCTGCCCATGAGATTCTGTCTTGGATTTAGGGGAAGTTTATGTCAGTTGGAGGTAGCCTTTTATTACTGATGAACACGAATGTACTGAGAACTCCTTCTCCATTAAATAATGAAATCCAAATGAAGATTTACACATGAGTTCCCTCCTGCCTTCATCTACCATTGAAATCATGTTGTTTCTGCCTTTTGGATCTCCCTGTAATCTGTTGCCTCTTCTTCATTCCCACTACCACCATACCTTGGTTCAGATCCTACGAAATTTCCTTTGATATACTTTTTAATTGACCTCTCTGCTTTTTGTTTTTCTTACCTTTGTGTAAAGCCTCTTAGGTCATCTAAATATTTTTCTGATTGCTCAGGTTCTCTTACTCCGATAACTAGGAAAATCATGTGGCTGGTAGTTCTTTCAACACACTGCACAAAAGAATGCTCAGTAAAGACTTACTAAATAATGAATGGAATGCCTTACAAAGCTAGGGTGAACATTTAACCTGCTTGGCCCTGGATGGTTTCTGTTTATACATTTCAACCCTGTGTCATTATTAATATGTCTCTTTTATTATCAAAGTTGTCTCTGAGCAACAAATTATACATTCATCTAATTGTGTCTGTTATCAAATAGATATCTATTTCATTGTCTCTTCAACTAGGTAGTTATTGGGGGTCAGAAATTATATTTGTTTAATTTTTATAGCCTCATTTATTCATTCAACTAAAAGAATGACTCTATCAAGATACTGAGTTTCAATGTCAAAGCAAACATGTTTCTTGCCCTCCTGAATTTTCAATCTGGCAAGAAAAAACAGTCTACACAAAGAATATTGCCTGATATAATAAACATTAGTGTGAAATGAATGGATACATTTAAGCATTCCTAATCCAGCAATTCTAATCCCATGAATTATAATTGACAGAAGTAATCACAAACAGAACTCCATGTCATCCCGCTTCCATTTATATTTCTACTTAAAATCTTAAAAATCAAACACCACACATATACCTAAGAATGCATAATATTTATATGCTATCTTGATATTAAGCATGAGAAAAATAACCATACAGCAATAGCAACTTTGAACCTCCTTTCTTTTTTAGATAAGTTATAATCCTATGTGTTTCTCTACAGTGAAGATTAGGATTGTAGATACTCTTCCTCTCCCTCACTTTTTATTTTAGAGATGAGAAATCTGGGGTTTTAGAAACTGAGCCCCAAGATAAAAGAAATATTTCTTTTTTTAAAGAAGATTTTTTTTATTTGAAAGGTAGAATTACAGAGAGGCAGAGGCAGAGACAGAGAGAGAGAGAGAGAAAGTCTTCCATCCACTTGTTCACTCCCCAAATGGCTGCAATAGCCATAGTTAAGCTGATCCAAACCCAGGAGCCAGGAAATTCTGGGTCTCTGATGTGGATGCAGGGTCCCAGGCATTTGGGCCATCTTCTACTGCTTTCCCAGGCTACAGCAGAAAGCTGTATTGGAAGTGGAGCAGCAGGGAATTTAACTAGTCCCCGTATAGAATGTCGGTGCTGAAGGCGGAGGCTTAGCCCACTATGCCACAGTGCTGGTCCTGAAAGACTTCTTAAACCAATATTTCACATTGGTTGGCCTTTAAGCTAGACTTTTTTTTTTTTTTTTACCATACTTCCATGGGCAAATTCAATTCTAATCTCTTTCCACCTCAGCTTTCTCTTTGAAAATTGAGAATACGGTCTCCAGAATTAACCTAAGGTATAATTGATACAAAGTAAGGCATTTACTCTGTTAATCTGGCCCCTAGAAGATACTTGGAAATGTTAGCCCTGTATCCAGTTCTCTCTCTCTCTCTCTCTCTTTTTTTTTTTTTTTTTTTTTGTACTTGGTGAATTAGAGGGTGGTGTAAAATGCTTTGAAAAGAACCACAAATAAAAGACACAAATAAAAATTGTATTCTCAAATCTAGATGTTAAACTATGCCGTGTACACCTGTGCTGAGAGTTACATTGAAATCCTTGTCATTCATTACTTGAGAGAAGCTGTCCAGGAATAAAGCAGCAGGGGGATTTTCCTGAGGGAAACAGCATGTATGAGGGAACCGGGATTTGGGACTCAGCAGCAGTGGCTGTCACTTCTTAAGATTTTGTTCAAGAAAGGATGAATAGCAGCTGATCCTGGAGATCTGGGGTGGGAAGGAAGGGAAGGAGGGATGTAAACAAAAGCAAATGCCCTCTGGTTCCCAGCCTGTCTCCACCCACCCCGCACTGAAGTCCTAGGAGAGGGCCAGTAAGTCTATCTTATGTCCTGGCCTGGACTCCATTTCCCAGAGTCACCCGGTGCTCTAACGTTTCCTGCTCTGAACGCCTGTGCGTGTGCATGTGGGAGAACGTGCGCATGCGCGTGCCTTTCCCTGTGGTTCCGGGTTGGGAACAGAAGTTCATTTACTGATCAGAGAGGACCCTGAGAGGCCGCGCTGCTCCTTCTCCCACATTCACTGGGGAGTCTTGCTCTGCAAGTGCAATTGCAGGCATTTGGGGAGCACACACCCCAGTCCTGCCGCCAACTGCTTCTGTGCCTCTGCATCTGGCACCGTGGGCCCCAAGTTCCAGCGACTTCTCCTGTCCCACACTCTCCGCTTTGCTCCCCGTGTGTCCTGAAGAAAGGGGACGTGCTCCCGAGATTTTCCACGGCAAGTATGCAGAACAGGAGGGGCATCTATGCGTGTGTGGGAGAGGGGAGGGTGCGATGGTGGGTGGCAGCTCCCAGACCTCGATCACTTGCTTCTCAGTGATCCTGGGAGCTTCTCCGGTAGAGTCAAGGCTGGGGCCCTGGTGTTGTGTCTCCCACCGCCGCTTCCCAGTCTCCCGATGCACGGCCGGTCCCACGGGCTGCCTCACTCAAATTCTCCTTAAAGTACACTGGACGAGGAACAGCACAAGCAGGGCAGTTGAGAGCATGCTGAAGGAAAGAGTCTCATTCCCTATATTTAAATAAGCCCAGTTCTCACTTTGGGTGGGTCAGAGAATGCCTTGTGGCTGGGCCTCCGGCTATATCCTCTGGTAGTTCCAGCTGGGCAGGGCTCAGTGGCCCTCATCTGGAGCCCAAGGCAGTGGAGAGGTGGAGATGGCAGATCAGAGTAGGCACTGGCTCCTGGCCCCCATGCTGGACCCCGCGGACACATCTGACAGTTGGGGCGCTATGTGTTTGGCTAACTTTCCCAGCAGCGCGTGAAGCTTGTGCAGTAGCTTTGTGGATTGATCGCTCCTCTGTGTTTAATTAACAGACTCTTTTTCAATCTAGAGCTTGAGGCCATGGAAACATAGCTGATTTATTTTCCTGCGTTTCGATTTCTGTCTTCAACCCTTCTTTCTTCTCATGTTATTAGGGATGTCAACTTTTATTACCTGCTGCTAATCCCTTTGCAAAGTGAGAAGTGAACTGAAATTAATGCAAGTCTACCGTGTGAGTTAATAATGAGCTACTTCAATCTGGATTTTCATGGTGGAGAGCTACGAAAACATAAATACAGAAAAGTATCAATTTTTCTTGTCTAGTTCTTTACAGTCACTCAATGCTCCACCAAGCTGATTATCTTACAGTCCATACTGTTTTAATTAAGGGGGCCAGTTACTTTTTTTTTTTTTTAATTTGACAGGCAGAGTTAGAGAGGAAGGTCTTCCTTCTGGTGGTTCACCCCCCAAATGGCCACTATGGCTGGTGCACTGTGCTGATCTGAAGCCAGGAGCCAGGTGCTTCTTCCTGGTCTCCCACATGGGTGCAGGGGCCCAAGCACTTGGGCCACAGCAGAGAACTGGACTGGAAGAGGAGCAAATGGGACAGAATCCGGTGTGCATATGGGATGCCAGCACTGCAGGCAGAGGATTAACCAAGTGAGCCACGGCACCGGCCAGTTACTTTAAAAAAAAAAAAAAATTTAGTTATTTGAAAGGCAGAGTTACAGAGAGGCAAAGACACACACAGAGTGAGAGAGAGATAGAGCTCCCATCTGCTGGTTTACTCCCCAGATGGTCACAATGGCCAGAACTGTATGGATCTGAAGCCAGAAGCCAGGACTTTCTTCCAGGTCTCCCACACAGGTACAGGGGACCAAGCACTTGGGCCATCTTCCACTGCTTTCCCAGGCCATAGCAGAGAGCTGGATCAGAAGTGGAGCAGCCAGGTCTTGAACCAGCACCCATATGCTTTTACCCACTCAGTCACAACACCAGCTTCAAGTTACTTTTCTTATTCTGGGTTCTGTGTTTAACCTCATGACATTTTCAACATGGGAGGATAATAGTGATAGATTTTCAAAATGACTGGTCTGTGGAAGCCTTTGTACAGGTGTTAATGTGAAGAGGGGTAAGGAAGAAAAGAGAAAATGTGCCCCTCTCCCCCCACAGAGATGCCCACACAGTACGGTAAAAGATGTGGCTTTGGTCTGGCACTGTGGCTCAGTAGGTTAATCCTCTGCCTGTGGTGCCAGCATCCCATGTGGGCGCCAGTTTGAGTCCCAGCTCCTCCTCTGATCCAGCTCACTGCTATGGCCTGGGAAGGCAGTAGAAGATGGCCCAAGTGCTTGGGCCTCTGCACCCATGTGGGAGACCTGGAAGAAGCTCCTGGCTCCTGGCTTTAGAACAGTACAGCTCTTCTGGCCATTTTGACCAACTGGGGAGTGAACCAGCAGAAGGAAGACCTTTCTGTCTATCCATCTCACTACCTGTAATTCTACCTCTCAAATAAATAAATAAAACATCTTTTAAAAAAAGAGAAATGTGGCCCTGAAAACTATTGCTATAGACTTTCAGTGTAATGAAGTTTTCACTTGATTGACTGAGTGATTCATAGATTCTGTTAGAGTCCTGTTGTCACCAGATTAATAATCTGTGAAAGTCATTTAGCATAGTAAGGTTACCTAGGAAGTAAAAATAGAAAGTGACTTCTGGATAGAGGTTGCTAGGGTGACAGCATTCTTCCTCTCAAATCCAGTGTGTTTTTTACCTTTTCTCACATGTACTCCCTATCACAGTGCTTGTGAGTGGACAAGCAGTTATGTGTTTCTGCTGAAAAGAGCTGCTTCACACCCAGGAAACAACTGTAAGACACTTTCTCAGCAACTATGTTGTGTGTACATTAATATGAACTTGAAAACAGCCAAGAACAGGATTCCTGGACTACTCAGGCTAACTCACTGTCCTTGGCACATCATTCCCTGCTCTGCAATAAGTTTCTGGCAAGTTCTTTAAAATTTTTAGGAGAGATATGTTTCATATGAGAGACATAATCTGGTAATGCAGCAGTGATGTCTTTAAGAAAAGGTGCCATGTGAGGAAGCAGTCTGATGTGTCCATTCATCTTCCCATTAATGACTCTCATTGATGTCCAGCACAGGGTGACAGAAGCAATCCTCCTTCTGAATTGCATCAAGCCAGCAAGATTCCTCTACAATTTATCTGAGCTTTCCTTGTATGAGGGAATCACCAAAATACTACATTGTATAGGGTTTTTAAAATTCATTTTATTTACTTGAAAGGCAGATTTACAGAGAGATGGAGAGACACAGAGAGGTCTTCCATCATTGGTTCACTCCTCAAATGGCCACAATGACTTGGGTTGGGCCAGGCTAAAATGAGAAGCTAGGAGCTTCTGGTTCTCACACTTGATTTCAGGGGCCCAAACACTTGGGCCATCATCTTTTGCTTTTCCAGGTGAATTAGTAGGGAGCTATATTGGAAAGAAGCAGCCAGGTCTTGAACCAGTGCGCATGTGGGGTGCTGGCACTGCCAGGGTCTGCTTAACCTACTACACCAGTCCCATGTGCATTTTTCAAAGAGGGGGAGGGGTTAAATTTTTCTAATATGACTCTCAAAGATTATAATTTGTAGTAGATGATGATTTTGGTTATATTTTGAGTTTCATTAAATTTGTATATTTTTTAAGTTAATGAGTACTAGTATTTATCTTATTTTTTGTAAAGATTTATTTTTTTTACTTGAAAGAGTTACAGAGAGGAGAGGCTGTTCGCTGGTTCACTCCCCAATTGGCTACAGTGGTTGGAGCTGTGCCGATCCAAAGCCAGGAGCCAGGAGTTTCTTCTGTGTAGTAGTTATGTTATGTTATCCTTGCTTTGGATAAACAAACTCTCTCCCATCCCTCAGTTAAAATGCTTTTAAAAATAGGTTTATTTTGAGGGCTGGCAGGTGAGGCTGCCACCTACAGTGCTGGCATCCCGTATGGGTGCTTGTTTGAGATCCAGCTTCTTGCCGTGGCCTGGGAAAGCAGTGGAAGATGGCCCAAGTTCTTGGGTTCTGCACTGCATGGGAGACCTGACAGAAGCTTCTGGCTCCTGGCTTCAGATAGATCCAGCTCTGGCCATTGCAGCCATTGGGGGAGTGAATCAGTGCATGAAAGACCTCTCTCTGTGCCTCTGCCTCTCTGTAACTCTGCCTTTTAAATAAATAAATAAATTTTTACATGTTACACCATGGAGCTGGCCCCAAGACCTAACAGGTTTTCTGGGTGCTTATCTTGGGGTTCACTTTGAGCTCTAAGCACAGTTATTCTGTGTGACTGAATATTTCATGTTCTTTCTTATGGAAAAATTTTTCTCATGATCTGAGTGATTGGCTACATCTGCCCGTAGTGGAAACTAAAACTTAATTTGGCATTTGAACACCCAGAGTGCTGAGTCCTGTAATCTTCTGAATTTAATCAGAAAATGTGTTTTGAAACATTTGATCTGTGGGTAGGCAGGGTATTTTTCCTGAGCTGATGGTGTTTTTCTACCCCACATTATATTCTGAAATTTACTTCCTTTTATTTTCTTAAAATAACTATATTTGAAATTTGCTCCCCCTTTCTGAAATGTTTGTGCTTCTGTCCTCCTTATAACCATGGACATGAGTAGCCTTTTTCCTTCTTTCTCTCTCTCTCTTTTTTTTTTTTTTTTAACAGGGAGAGTGGACAGTGAGAGAGAGAGAGAGATAGAGAGAAAGGTCTTTCTTTGCCGTTGGTTCACCCTCCAATGGCCACCGCGGCTGGTGCACCATGGTGATCCAAAGGCAGGAGCCAGGTGCTTCTCCTGGTCTCCCATGGGGTGCAGGGCCCAAGGACTTGGGCCATCCTACACTGCACTTCCAGGCCATAGCAGGGGGCTGGCCTGGAAGAGGGGCAACTGGGACAGAATCCGGCACCCCGATTGGGACTAGAACCTGGTGTGCTGGCGCCACAAGGAGGAGGATTAGCCTATTGAGCCACAGCGCCATTTCTTTTCCTTCTCTTTATGATGCTACAAGAGCAATGGGACATTGCAGCTCTCTCCCCTGGCAGCACATCTTCCTCAGTGTGTCTCTTTGAATTAGACCCTGGGTTAACTTGGCTGCACAAAAGGCATATATCTAAACCCAGTGTACCTAATGAATGAAAGTCATCATAAAATCAATATACTTTGTAAACCTCTCATCTCTTGCTTTGAAATGTTTTGTGAATGTGTCTTTTATGTCAGTGTCTGTAAGCCAGAGACTTCCCACTTAAGGCAGAAGGCTGCTGAGGGACAGCACAACTAGCTTTGCTCTGTTACTTTACTGTGGCTACTCTCTCACCCTCTCTCTTTATTTTATAAAGATTTAAAAATTTTATTTTAAAGGCAGAGTTACAGAGAAAGAGGCAGGGACAGAAGGATGGGGATCTTGCA